CCCCATTAAGGCCTTTTTTCTAGTTGTAAACAGTTCAGGGTCGGCTGTGGCCATTTGGTTTTAATTGGAAGCTGTCTCTTTAAATTTCAAGGAGATCTGTGCGCATGCATAGTAGAACCCTCAGAGTAGACTGGGATGCCCACTAGCTCAGGCACCCCTATAGTCACCCGAATGGAGATGCACAGACAGCAAGGGACCAATGAACAGCTACCAAAAGAGAAGAATGTCCACACTTTTATCTCTGCTGTTCTGCCAGGTGTCTGTGGCCGCTCTGATCCTTTCCCTGCTTGGTCTCACCCAAGATGGCGGCTCCTCAAACAGCTGAGTGTCTCAAATTAGAAAGCAATGGATTTCTTTATTCTGCCACAATTTCCCCCAGCTGTAAGCCTTCCAACCTTCTAAACATTCCTTTATATGTGGTTCAGAGTTCTGGGATCATCCCCTGAGCCTCTTTGGTCGGGTATTCTGTGTTGTTGCTGGCGGAGTTCCTTAACTGCACTTCCACACAATCCACCATCTTGTTTGTTCTTAACAATGTTTTTTAATGTTTTGAATTTTAGTGAAAGTATACACTGCCAAACATGCACCATTTCAACTATTTCTACATGCACAATTCAGTGATATTGATTGCAAGGTTTGTGATCATTTTCACTATCCTTTTCCAAATGATTCTACCATCTTCATCTTAGACTCACTTCCCTCTAAGCTTCCTGTTCAGCGCTGCATGTTATCATTATCAATTCAATCTCACGTAACTAATTCTTTAAAAGAACATGATGCTCAAAGCAGACTTACTATAGCAATTAAGATTAGCTATTTATTGGCTCAAGGAAGACTTTAGGACATAGTTTTGGTTCAGAGTTTAGGACTATCTCAAAGCAATAGTTTTTGGGGTTCATCCCACCTCATTGACTCCAGAAAATCTGGATTCTATTGAGATTTGAAATTTAATTTCTCATTTCCCCCCTTTTGATCAGGATTCTGTTCCAGAAAAACAGGTAAGAATTTATTACATATGTAAATAAAACTAACAGTATTTTTGGTTTTGTATTTTAAGGTTGCCTATAAGCAGAAACATGATGCTGCCAAGGGATTATCAGATTATGCCCACATGAAGGAGCCACCTGAAGTCAAACATGCCATGGAGGTCAATAAACACCAGAGTAATGTAAGGATGTTCATTCACTATATTTTTATAGAAAATTATTAGTTATTCCACATCAGGAATTATGAGTATTTTGTTCAAAGTTAAATACTGTGGCAACCTCTATCCAAAAAGAAATTTAAAAATTTCTTTTGTTTTTATTTCTCAGTGTTCAGGGACAGGCACCTATGAGTGCCTCTCTCTCTCAAAAAAAAAAAAAACTTAAAACATTGCTGAATGCCTTTTAAATGTCAGGCACATTTGCACTTTGAAAATTCTGCTTTGAACAAGACAAATATGAATCTTTTGAACCTATAAAGTTACTAGCATTTCCAAGAGCTTGCTTGACTTGATGATATAATTCACATGGGTTTCTAGTCTAGAATTGCACTTGAACTGGAGGAGGAAGGGGAAGAAGCCCCAAACCCCACAAAACACAGATTTGAATCAGTGGCCCAGGTAAGAAGACAAATTCCAGCTAGGTTGTATTCCATTACTGTTTCTTTTGGAATTCTGGGGTGAGTAAATTGATAAAACTATACTCATGCGGAATATGACAGCAATAGAAAATTCTATTCTTCTTTGATTTTAAGTTAGCAGCTACATCAACCCTTTTCATGCATTGCCACTATCCTGGTGACCTAAAAGAAAAGTTTATTTTTGTAATCCAAAAGGAAGCTTATTACCTAGAACTTTCTTGACTTGCTGCTGAATTTACAGGGTTTTCAGTCTAGAATTGCACTAACTCCTCATCATGAATTCTGTGCTCTCCAAAAGAATGTGAGAACAGTTTTTCAGATTCTTCATGGATTATGATGCATTCAGATAAAGTCTGAGTTGAGTGAAGCGATCTTTTCTTTGAATAGAATCTTGAAACATCCTGATCATCTGACACCAAAGCTGTCCCTGTCACTCATTCTCTTACTGAATGGGACTTTGCTGGTTCTGCTCCCCCAGAGCCAAGCTGTGCTGAGGCCTGCACCAATGTTTCTTTGCAGGTTGCCAACAACTATGTGACATTAGATTGCAGTAGGTCAATGTTTAAGGAAAAGCTGAGGGAAGTTTTAGTTCCAACTCAAATGGCAATGCTAAGGCGCTTTTCTAGGATGATTTCAGATTAATGAGCCATAATCTCTATGTCTGTAGGCACTTAGCAAGGTCGTCATAAATGGATGCTTTATAAGAACTCCTGGCTTATAGAATAACTATAATCATCATAATCACCACTGAGCATTGCTATGCACCACAAGCTGTGCCAAGACTTCTATCATTTCCCATTCTCACAAAAACCCTGTGCTGATTCCCATTTTATAGCTGAGGAAAGTGAGGCTAAGGAATCCCACTCACAAGTCTGCCCTTTCTGTTGCATCATGCTACCACCCTCTTAAAGGCCACTGACGATGAGTCACGATTCTAGATTAAATGTTTCAAATGAGGAGCAAAGTAGGTTATCATTAGAATTCAGATAAATAGATTCAGTGCAGTACAAGAATAACTGAGACACTCTGAGCTCCCACTGTCTTGATGCTGAAGAGATTTTGAATTTGCACAAAAGGCTGTGGGTTAGAAAGTGGTGATGGTAGTCTGGGGTAGGGGCTGGTGTTATGTGGATCCTAGGAGGCCCTTTCTAACTCTATAATTCAATGAAATGCAAATATGGAACTTCCTTATCATTAGAACTGGGGCTATTATTTTAACGCTGCCTTTTCTTTTAAAAGGTCTTTGATTGAGGGATTGAGGGAATAGGAGTATAAAGCCCTTTTCTCCTGCATTCAATACTGTGTACTTATGGGAGAAGGATGTGTTTGCTTACACTCTGCTTCAACCTTTACAATGCTAAGTTTGTACACATAATAGGATTTAGAAAGTGTTTAAGACTATTTACTCAGATTTAAAGTCAGAATGATATTTGTATTCTACCTGTGAAGTAGTTGGTATTCCTCTAGAGTCAAGCCACTTAGAATAATACATTTGTTGTCCTTACAATAGGAAATTTAATAAAAGTCTTCAAAGCTGCGAGGAAAGTGAAGTACTTCTCTTGGTTCCATGAGAAAGTCTATAGAATCTACATGAAAGACAAATTCTGTCTCCCATAAACATTGTCCAATGAAACTCATATGCAGAGAGTTTACTAATAGAATTACCCTTTCATAATGTGGAATGTTGCTTTACACAAGGACTATAAATGACTGAATTTAATTTAAAATAAACTGTGTTGTCACATGTGAATCTGATTTATCTAGGCGCAATGAAAGTCAACATCTTTGCTTACCTTTCATGTTTCCACCCAAATCAAGTCAATTTTCTAGTATATGTTAGAGAACCCAGAAACTAAGATCATTTCAGTCCAAAGGAAGAATCCCTAAGTCTCATTTTAGGTATTAACATCTGCCTCCTTTCTGATCACACTTTTTATTAAAACTGTCGTCAGTGGGACAAAGGGAATGATTTTTCTTCAGGACTTTTCTCTTCATATATTTAGAGATGGAACTAAACAAAAGAGAATGAGGGAAAAGATTCTCTCTGCCTTTCCAGCTGATTTGTCACCTCTGAATATATTCTGGAGCTCATGGTTTCTGCCATCACTCAACACCAGCTTAATGACCTCAAGATAGGAAAACAAATTCTCAGAAAATCCTCCTGGAACCTTTACCAGGATTTGGAGTCAGGCCAGGGTTGGAATGCTTGCCTTGTCATTTCTTGATTAGATATTCTTGGAAAAGTTACTCAATGTCTCTGAATCTCAGTTTTCCCATCTGTAAAATCAGGACAGTGATATCTCCCTCATAGAGCTTTGTAAGTAATAAATAAGATAGTGTGTAAACGAGATCATCATAAAGGCTCTGTGAAGCGCCATTCCATAAAGCATGAGGCCTGTTTGGGCCTCCTCCAATTTTTAAAGGGTGATTTGAGAGTTTAGGATAAGATCATAATTAATTTAAAACAATTTTTTAAAAGTTAGACTTATAAAATGAATATGAAATTTATATTAAGAAGTATTTGGGTCAGAAGGGCATATTTAAAAGGTTTGTGAACCCATACAACTACCTATTTTGTTGATACTATGATTAAAAATTAATTAAAAACAGCCAATCTAAATCCTTTTGAATCTTAAGGGACATAGCCCTGCCAAATTTTTCTGATGTAATTAGAAACATTGGAGATACTCTATTGTGTTACTTTCCCCTAAAGAAGGCTTTGCATGAAAACCCCCACTTCCATTATGTGTTCTCATCAATCTTACCAGAGACGTGAAGTCCAATAATTCTGAAGTAAGTCAAAGAAAATTTTAACCTCTGGTTTTAAATTTTGTTGAGTAATGTGGTCTACACAGACTTGCTATGAAATTGGACAGGTAAACTTTTCCAAGACACCACACTGGCAGTTGATTCAATGACAAATATTCAGCAGGGGCACAAGAGATGTCGTATTCTTTTCAAGAGTAACAAACGCACGTTCTCAAAATTAATAAAAACTTATTGGTAGACAAAATTTGTATTGTACCAAAAGTGAAAAAACTTAAATCAGTAAGATGATACCGGAAAAATATTTACAGCTCTGTGTGACTTCCCAGTGTGACTTGAAATACAATGCCTTAGAATTTAGTATTAAAAATAGGTATCGGAGTATTATTATTTTCTTCTCCCTAGCGGAACAGTTAGTAATGCCTAGTCTTCCTTCTGCAAAGCTTATTGTTGTTGTTAAGTGCCATTGAGTCAGTACCAATTCACAGCAATCCTATGCACAAGAGAACAAAACACTGCCTGGTCCTGCCCCAACCTCACAATCATTGCTACTTTTGAGCTCAACGCTGCTGCCACTGTGCCAATCCATCTAGTTGGGGTTCTTACTTTTTTTCTCTGACCCTTGACTTCACTAAACACAATGTCCTTCTCCAGGGATTGGTCACTCTTGACAATATCTCTGAAGTATGAGAGATGAAATCTGCCCATCCTGGCTTCCAAGAAGCATTCTGGCTGTACTTCTACCAACAAAGATTGGTTTGTTCTTTTGGCAGTCCATGGTAATTTTAATATTTTCCTCCAACACTGTAACTCAAGTGCATCAATTCTTCCACAGTGTTCCTTATTCACTGTCCAGCTTTCACCTGCCTGTGAGGCTATTGAAAATACCACGGTGCACTCTCATCCTCATACTGGCATCTTTGCCCTTGAGCACTTTAAAGAGGTCTACACAGCACATTTACTGAATGCAATATATCATTTAAATCATGCATAAGAAACCTTTTTATAATCAACTATAAAATCTTTATAAACATATGACAAGAATAATAATGATGAATTGTTCTAGATACAATTCCATGTTTTAATCTATTTCTTAGAAGATTGAAAACCATTTTGTTTGTTTGTTTGTTTTCTGATGAATGCTAGATCCTGGGTTTATTTATATTCAAAATATTTGCATTCTCTTATAGTAACATGATCCATACAATTTAATAATTTGGGGTTTGTGTGTGTATGTGTGATGCATGACTGGACAGAAATGAATCTCTTTGAAATAGAATTTCTTGTCCAGATGTCTATCTGAAAATATCTAAATGGCTTATCTCATGTAAGAGTTTATGATGATGACAAAGGATTTCTTGACAGAGACTAAACAAGTGTTTCATGAGTATAATGATTAACAGGTTTCATTACTCACTTCTGTTCTACAAACCTAAAAATATATTTGTCCTGTGTAGTTTCTACTAAGTGAGGAGCATATTTAACCCCTCAGCATAATAGCAAAGAGAATAGTTCTGGGGTAGTTGAATTTGTTCCTTTGAGCTCTGTTTGCTTCTCCTGCCCTGAGCTTCCATGTTGTTAAGTGTTGTTAAGTTGGTTCCAGCTCATAGCGACCCTGTATTTGGTTTCTGAGGAGCAGCTGGTAGGTTTGAACTGCCAACCTTGTGTTTCACAGTCCAGTGCTGATCCTAGGGCACCACACCAGGAATCCCCTGAACTTCTATGTTGTTGTTGTTAAGTGCCATCGAGTTGTTTTCCGACCCATAGTGACGCTGTTTA